TGCAAAAAGTAAAAAGCAATAGATAGTCCGAAAACCCGGATTTGAACCAGGGACCTAGAGATTACAACGCAAGCCTTCAAGGCCAAGCCACTACAGTCTCCCGCTCTACCGCTGAGCTATTTTCGGATTTTCAAGCTTTTAGAGTAACAATCGTTGTGTCCATTGATGATAATAACATATTTTACTGCTGCGATGATGTTGCTTTTACTCTTTTGTTTCACTCCTTTGGCGTTACTAGCCAATGGAAAACTAAAATACTTTAGCCATTAGACATATTTAAGTGTAATTGCATTGTTTCTCATGTTGTGTTTTGTGTTCATACTGATTATGTTTTCTTCATCGTAAGTTAAGCTTTTTAGCAACCAACCCTTCTCACTGAAATTCAGCTTTGTAGATAAATACATCAACACCGAAAACAGAAATAAAAGCCAGTCCCTTAAAACCTTTCAATACAGAGTGTTCTGGAAAAGGATATATTCAACTGGCTTTGCCAGTCAGGCTTAAACAATTTGATATTAATTGCTGTCAATTAAGCAAACTGAGTATTGTCCATCTGACTGTTTCCAGATTTCCCAATACCCAATGATTATACAGAAAAGCATAAAATTAAATGCCATTTTCAATTAAACGAGTGTCCAGTCTCATAATTAATTAATATTTAAATTTAGACTGCCATAGCACTCAATGTATAAAAGACAACTATGCTGCTACATACCCACATTTCCTTTCATTTGGTAGACACATTTCCATTATCAACTTTAATATACAATTTGTTTAACATGTCAAGAGTAGCAAATAAGGGCCCAATACCAGTATGCCAAAGGTGTGGTGGGGCTCATTCAACTCAAAAATGCAAACTCACTAAAGAGCAAATAGAGAGGGAGAAAGCAATTCAAAGTTATTTAACAGACGAAACTGATGTTTACCCAGCAACTGCCAACAGCCAGTGACACGAGCAAAGTAAGATAGTAATAGAATCGGTGTTGGCCTTAATGCAGTGGCACTCTTAGAACCATGACAAGAGCAAAGAGATAATTATTCAACTGGAAAAGCCGAATTGGACAGCATCATTTCAACACGTAATGTTAACACTAGCATTTTAAAAGGGTATAAATAAATTTATCGAGTGCCATAGGAAAAACAAAGAAACACACTGCACTCTGCTCTTCGGCAGAAGATGAAAAAGGCAAAAAATGTTGCTCACTACAGGGGTCGAACCTGTGACCTACGCGTTATTAGCACGTCGCTCTAAACCGACTGAGCTAAGCGAGCTGCACGTGACCTCTCCCATCTGGGCAGGCCAGAACATGATCTGACCCGTGGTGTCTTCTGTTTTTTGGCGTTTAGAGCATGTAC